GCCGAAAAATTGATGGAATTGCTGGAGAAAGATGCACCTGAGGTTTGTAGTTTGTCAAATGCTTCTGAAATTTTATAATCGTGCTCGTCATTGAACAAAGGGAGGATTAATTGAACCCTTCATCAGGCCGATAGCGTCAGAATCCTAAGCACGATAAAATGACAGCGGGGTAAAAGGAATTCAGCGCGTGTCGATGAAAAATCTTGAGCATAAAATATTGAACGAATTTTGTTGGAGTCCTCTCATGGAATTATTTTCGGAAAAAGGAAAAAGCTTTCTACAGATTTTTTAATTGAAAATTTTCAGTATCTTCAATTTTAGCTTCTAAACGTTTCATGAAAATATTGTTGTTATTCAAGAAGTTGTTAAACAGAAGATACAGTTGGATTAAATTTCTGATTGAAGTTTAGTTATCCGAACAATGTTCCGTTTTCTCTTGGGAGTAAATTCTAAATTGAGTATGAGGGTAGAAACGTGTAAGTCTTGTATGAAACAGAATGCGCAAGACTCAATTGCCATTACAAATTTTTCACTTCACAGGGACTTCTTGGAGATGCAATATTTTGACATACACAATTTAATGATCATGAGTATCTTTAATTATGATTCCAATAGTCTCAGTTGGATTCCAAACGAGCGGAGTATAGTAAATTGTTTTTCTTGAAAATTCACAGGTAGAGCAGTTGGATGACACCTCTCTGAAGCGTTTGATCCTGACTTACGAGAAAAAGAGTTTGAAAAATCAGGAAATGCGCATGAAGTTCCCAGATAATCCGGAAAAGTGAGCCTTTTAATTGTTTAATGAAATTATTTTATTATTCTGCACGTTCTGTTGGAAGCTTGACTTACGTTCTGCATTGATGAATATTGTGCTTTTTTACGTTTATAGGTTCATGGAGTCTGAAGTAGACCTCAACGATGCTATTCAAAGTCTTCATATTGTTGCCACTGCACCGGAACTGTATCATATTCTTGTCGAAACGAATGCAATAACGTCCCTGGTCAGCTTGATTCCCCACGAGAATACCGACATTTCAACAGCAGTCATTAACTTGATTCAGGAACTGACGGACGTGGATACTCTCAACGAGAGCAAAGAGGGTGCTGACGTTTTAATCGACGCCTTGGTAACGTCTTGAATGCCTTTCTTCCCGAGAAGCAGTAAATGAAAAAATACGATTGTTTTTGTTCTTCGTCAGTTGCGTCAGCAGATATGTGGTGTACTAGTCTCGAACCTCGAGAGGTTAGATGAAAATCTGAAGGAAGAAGCAGATGGCGTTCAAAATTCCCTGGGTGAGATTTTCGTGTCTCTTGAAATTCATCTTGATTTTTTAGATAATCCAGCTTATTCCGAAATAGTCCATAGTGTGGGGCGTTTGTATTTTTGCAAGAACAAAATCGAATCTGTGTATCGAAGTCCTTCTTGAAATGAATAAAAGTCATAATAGTTGATCGTATAATACCAAAATGTGTGAGCGATTGAATTTTTACTTTGTACTACTCAATTTCTAGCCTGTTTCAGAATAATCGCCTCGAAGTTTTTTGGAAGGATTCTGAAGTACTGAATTGACATGTTCCGTCTGAATTTCTGATGAACTCGATTGCATTTATGTGAACCTATTGTTCCTGCGTTGGTTTTTTTCAGCAACGATTGAGCACTTGATTGATTTTCGAGGTGACGTAGTCAGCGAAGACGCTGTTTCTCAGGGCCTGATGGTTTGGATTCTGAAAAGACTAAAGGGAGCAAAAGGTTCTCCCGTTTTCGACGGTACCAAATTGTATTGTGCGGAAATTCTCTCGATTTTGTTGCAATCGAGCAACAAGAACAGGAAAACTTTGGGCGACCTTGATGGTATTGACATCCTCCTACAGCAGCTCGCTGTAAGCCGCATTTTTTGGAGCTGAGAATTGCGATTCATTTTTGACAACAAAATTATCTTTTTTTTTCAGTATTACAAGCGACATGATCCGTCGTCCGCTGAAGAAACTGAGATGATGGAAAATCTGTTTGACTGTGTTTGTTCCTATCTGATGTTCTCGCCAAATCGCGATCGGTTCCTCCGTGCCGAGGGTCTTCAGCTGATGAATCTCATGTTGCGCGAAAAGAAATACAGTCGAAGTGGGGCTCTTCGGGTTCTTAGTCATGCCTTGACCTCCGGGCCTGGGGACTCCCACGAGTTCGGCAGTGCGGCCGACAGTTGTGCCAAATTTGTTGAAATTCTCGGACTGAGGACTATTTTTCCCCTCTTCATGAAAACTCCGAAAAGGTACGTAAAAATATTCATGACACGATCATTCGCACGTTCCGAGGTTCGAATGAGAAAAAAGGATATTCAGTTTACCGTGTATCCTGTCTTGGAAATTTTCGTCAAATTTAAAGATTATTTTGAACAAATATCAGTGGATTGCGGTTTTAGTTCAGCTCAAAAATGTGAGCAGCTTCAATTAATCTGAAGATTATTTGTATGAAAGGCTTTGCTTGAATGGAATCTTCAATCGGCTGATTTAGGTATAGTAAGCGAAGCGCGCCTGCATCGCAACATGAGGAACACATCGTGTCCATCGTTACTGCTCTGGCAAAGCATTGTCGAGGATCTCAACGTCAGCGTTTCTTGGCGAAGTTTGCGGAAAACGACTCAGAAAAATTGGAGCGTCTGGCAGAGTTGCATTTCAAGTACATGGAAAAGGTCGGTCGAACGGACGTCCGAATCGAGGGCGAAAGAAAGGTCAGATTTTTTTCTGTAATTTTTGTAATAGCTGTAGATGCATTGTCGTCATTGATTTCACGATGGTTTGAATTTAAAGCTTTGGGTTCAGAGTCGAATACACGAAGAACTTGATTTAAATGAGCTTCCTCGTATATAAAGTTTACTTTAAAAAAACTCGTTTCTCAGTTAAATTTTTGGCGTAAGTCTGAATAATTTCTATTTCGCACAGGGAATCATCGCTCGAGGAGAAGAACCCACTCCTGAAGAAGATGACGATTTTTATCTGCAACGGCTTTCCGGTGGCCTTTTTATGCTTCAGCAAATCGATTTGCTAATGGTCGAAGTTTGTGCAGGTTGTCCTCCGCAGGTGAAGCAACGTTTGATCGACTTGCTCAGCTTGCGTGGTGCATCAGTCAAAGAAATACGCAGCATTCTCAGAGGTAATTTGTTTAGATTGGCCGAAATTTTGTTGAATCATAATAAAAGTCCCTGTTATTTTCCAGAAATGGCCGCAAATATTGGCGAGAATGAAAATAATCCCGAGAAGGAGCTGGAACAAAAACATATCCTTGCCTTGGTTGACAAATTTTGAGTCGAATTTTTTTCAAAATTATCTTTTTTTGCGGAATGTTTTTGATGACCTTTTTGAAAGTCAAGGCATTCTCCTGGCGAAATATTTCCTGAAGAAATGCTGTGGAGACGTTCAATAGAACCGACGATTCTTTCTGTTACTGCATATTTCTTTTTATTTCCTTTTTGCGCAGCATGGACACCGACGCGCAATTTCTGTCAATATAAATACATTATCTGAATTGAAAACCGGAAATCTCAACGAATCAAATAATTGCTTGTCGGTGTTCAAAACCGAGAAACTCTCAGAAGATTAGAAGCACGTTTGAAGAATTTCGATTGTATATTCCGAATAGATTTGTGAAGAAAGTTCGTGATGAAGAACAGATTTGGAACGGTTGATTTGGTTGCCATGTGCAAGGAACTGCAAGATAAGTAAGTAGGACAGGATCATTCATTTCAGGAAATTTTGTCCATTCTGAAGGTTCGGAGCGATTCATGAAATTCCAATTGAACATCCACAGAATCATCGGGATGCGGGTTAATCAAATTTATGACATTGACTGGAAAACGTACTTGATTCGACTCCAGCGAACGGAAGAGAAAGCCGTTCTGTTGCTGGAATCCGGGAACAGAATTCATTGCACCAACTACGAATGGCCGAAACAACCAGCTCCGTCCAGCTTCGCTATGAAAATGCGGAAACACATAAAAAACAAGCGGCTGGAATCGTTGACTCAGCTGGGGGTCGATAGAATCGTTGATCTCCAGTTCGGCTCTGGTGAGGTGAATATCGCAGGAATTTTTGATGAAGTTCGCGGATTATTTTTGTTTTTCCTCAACACGTTTGGCGTCGGTTATTTTTAACGCGAAATTTGGGGGGAAAACTCGTAAAACTTCATTTGATACGAGGTTTGTCCCACCTTGGCTATTTATAGAGTAAATATGATGATATGACTGTAGAAAATAATGATTTAGTCTGTAATGTAATTTCTTGGGATTTTCTCCGGATTTTTAAAGAAAATTTCCTGTTTATGAATGATGAAAATCGGAAACTTTCCAGTTATGGCCTGAGTTCTCTAACCATGTCACAGGGGCTAAAAAAATTTCGGGCCAGCTCAAAAATTTAATTTTTTTTTGCTTCAGCCATTATCTTCTCTACCTTATTGATAATGTTGAACAACGAAAATAACTTCGTGCATACACTACTTTGCAGCAAGTGACGATATGTCAGGGGTTTAAAAAATTGCATGAGTGATGACATTTTAAATTAGTTTCAGAATTTCTGGCGTCTAATATTCGCTTATTCAATCTTCGTGAGTATATGTAGAATCGAGATGTTGAATTGTTCTTCCGCAGGCGAGTTATCATCTTATCGTGGAACTCTACGACCGAGGAAACATGATCCTCACTGACCATGAGTACGTGATACTCAACCTTCTTCGACCTCGAACGGATAACGAAGAACGACGGATCGCCGTCGGAGAAAAATATCCTCACGAAAATGCTCGCCTGGATTATCGAATGCTCGACGCTACCTCTTGGGAAGATGCCGTGTCAAAGGCGAAGCCCAACGATAATTTGAAAAAATTGTTGAACCCGCGACTAGATTTTGGTCCTGCTTTGATCGAGCATTGTTTGCTGGAAGCTGGTTTCCCGTCGAACGCTGCGATTGGAAAGGTGAATTTTGCGTGAAGTTTTGTGAAAGCCTACGCGTGTGTGGGCCGTCACATTTTAAATCGTGGTCCCGGTCGCTTTTTTTCCGTGTCGTTTCATACGCTTCAACAGTAATATTGTAATTTATTCGCGTGATCACGAGCTGTTAGACGCACGATAACGTTAACTTATCGAGTAGTCATGTGGGTTGATGTCATCCCCATTGCATGAGGCATTTTTCTACTAAAATCTTCAAACTTTACGAGGGTTGTCCCACTTGGGCGTGACCTTGGTCATTTCTTGAGCAGGTATGACTGTAAAAAAAAAAGAATATGATTTAGCCCCAAAGTTGTAATCTCATGGAATTCTCAGATTTTGAAAAACATTTTCAATATACTGCATCATGATGGGTTACGTTACAGTTACAGCCAGAGTTCTTCACCCATGTTACATGATGCTAACAATTTTTGAGGCCAGCTAAAGAATAAAAAAAATTTTAATTTTAGCCATTCTCTTTTCTGCATTTTAAGTAGCTTTTTAGGAAAATTTTTAGCACCCAGTGACATGGGTGGAGAACTCCGGCCAAAACTGGAAAGTTTTTACGCATCATCATGCAGTAAATTGAAAAAAAAGCTTTTAAAAATCCGAAAGAAATCCCAAAGGCTTACAACATCATGGGCTGTATCATAAATGATTTTCTACTGTCATACCTACTCTAGTTATCACCAAGGTCGCGCCGAAGTGGGACGACCTTCGTATGTTCGTGACACTGAAATATTCCTTGGCTTTCGCATTCATTAGCTTATGAATCATTCTGTATCACTTGATACTCATTTATTTTTTTCTGTTACAGGGTTATATTCATCCGGAAAATGCCCAGCGAGTTTTAGAAGCCATGAAAGCTGCCTTGGAGCTCTGTCGAGCATCTTCTTTCAATGGTTATATAATACAGAAGAAAGAAACACGACTGAAACCTGACGCGTCGGGAGAATCAGAAGATTTTTTCACTTATGCAGAGTACCACCCGCACAAATATATTCAATTCGACTCTGCTCCATTCCTGGGATTTCCTAATTTTTCGGCCGCTGTGGACGAATTCTATTCCAAGCTCGAGAATCAAAAACTTGACCTGAAAGTCGTCCAGCACGAAAAACTCGCCATGAAGAAGTTGGAAAATGTGTTGAAAGACAGAGAAAATCGGCTCGCCGGACTTCAAGAAACGCAGGAAACGGACAAACGTCGCGGGGAAATGATTCAATTCAACTTGGATTTGGTGGAGAAAGCTTTGTTAGTTCTCAGGTCAGCGATTGCGAATCAGTTGAGTTGGTCCGAAATTAGTCAAATGGTGAAGGATGCCCAGGATAAAGGAGATCCGATTGCTGGTTCCATTCGGCAACTGAAATTGGAAATAAATCATTTCACAATGGCTTTGCGTGATCCGTATGATATTGCAACCCAAGGTGAGTTCAGTCGTCCTCCCAATGAAGAACTGTATTAAATTACAGTACTTCAAAAAATACTGTAAGCCCTTCGGATTTTTTCTTTTTCGTATTTTGACCAACAACGTTGACCTGACATAAAGTACTGTACCAAATTGAAACCCAGTGAATCATGAAAAAATTGCATTATAATAAATAAATTCAACAACTTCCAAATTTTATTTCTTCTTTAGCTAAATAAATTTTCAACTAAGGACTCCTCATCTATATTGCCAAATCAGCTTTAAAATTTTGTGTTGATCGAATACCTATCAGTATGAGTTTGAAAAAAGATTATCCTTGAAAATCTTCGTAATTTCTTGTCTAAATTCATTCTTCTCGAACGTTTTAAAATTTCATTTCAATTAACTGTCTACAGAAGGAATTTCCAGTATTATCTTTTATGTTTCCAGAAGCGAATAAGCCAAAATTACCTATCAAAGACGAAGAAAATGA